TTCAATATAATTATCCCAGCACTCCTCCAGACCAAACTAACCCAGCTCTATCTGTCAGTGGATCACCAGCTTTCTGACAGATAGTCAACAGCTAGAGACTGGGGAAATTCATGTCAAACAGCCACACCATCAGCACTGGTGCCCCTCAGGGATGCGTTCTTTCCCCACTTCTTTTCTCCCTGCACCTCTGTTGACACCTCTGTCAAGCTCCTGAAGTTTGCAGATGACACTACAGTCATCGGCCTCATCTAGGACGATGATGAGTCTGCATTTAGAAGCAGCTGGCTGGCTGGTGCGTCTGTAGAAAGTCTATGGACCGAAGGGAGGCAAGCCTCCGCTCTAACTTTACCTGCGGGTGTCGCTGTTGGACAGTGTTACTTTATAAAAACGAGTGACTTTTAGACTTTTAATGTCATATTTAGTCATATTTGCGTTTTTGTAATATCGATTATTTTCGCATCCACTTTTGAGGAGAGGAGACACTGCCTCCCTTGCCTCTTCGGAGGAAACGCCCCTGATATACAGTATATATATACATATATATATATATATTCTTATTATCTGTGTGTTGTTGTCTCTGTGTAATGGAAGCTTCTGTCACCAGAACAAATTCCTTGTATGTTCAAACATACTTGGCAATAAAGCGCTTCCTGATTCTGGTTTTATTAAATCATTTCTGGGATCTGGCATTTTGATCTGATTCTTTCGAGGTGCTTGAGGAACTGGGGGAAGGAAGGCAGTCACTTTGTGATGACTCAGCCATTTTGTCTGCTACTTTGTGAAGGAGAGTCATTAATGCAAGAGCCAGCTGGATAAAAGTAGTGCTTCTACAACAAACCTGAGCAGCTCAGCTAGCTGAAAGCGTTTCATTTTATTACAGAACAATTGTTGATTTATTCCTGGAAAAATTGTCATGATTATAATGCAATATTATGACATACTATATTGCTAAAATGTATTTATTATAGTTTAACAATAGGAAATGCTTAAAACAGTTTGTGTACGTCTCCCTCTGCAGGACATTTTTCAGTACTGACTATCCATAAAACAAGCGTTAGATCACCTGTACAAATCTTACTTAAAATGATGTACATTTCCCATTTATGTGTAAGATACACTGAAAAAAATGGTATAGGATTTACTTTGAATCAATTTTCAGTCAGAAATTGCTTGTAAATTCAGTTCAGTTCATTACAATAAAACAGAAGTAACACCTTGAATTAAACATGAAATTTTGAAGTAGAAAGACAAAGTATTTTCATGTGAAACATCAATAAAACTCCAAAACAGTCTATCTTTGTTTTATTTATACAACTTTGAAAAATCATTTTTATGGTGTAACTGAGAAGTCATACTCTTTTATATGCATTTTAAATGATTATTACATAAAAAAAATGTGTTAATGTAACCATTTTATGATTCCACTTTCCACTTTACTATTTGTTTTGGACAATACAGGTAAAGCTACATAACAAGATGATGATTAATAGTTAACATTTCATAACAAATAAAAAACACAAAGAAATTAGTTCAACGAGTTCAGTTAAGTTTTATTAAAAGCCAAGCAAACATTAAAATACTGAAACAGATAACCTTTTCCAAACCTTTTTTTTTTTTTTTGCTCCATTTTGTACAAATCAGTTTTTCAAAAATATTACAAATGATTCAATAAAACTTTTTTCTTTTTTTTTCTTTTGCAAGAGCAGCAAAACATTCTGATTTTGTATTTTGAAAGCCCTTAGTAATGTGTATGGTGTGTGTGTGTGAGTGTACTTTTTCTAGTTCAGAACAAGAAAAATAATTACAGAACGAGTATCAGAAACAATAATCAAATTAAGAAGTTAAAAAGAAAAAAAAACAGCTTTAAGTAGTTATAAATCCGAAAGAGGAAAAGAGGTCAAGGGAAGGGTCGGCAGTCAGTGACACCTATACCTCACCTCAAGAAGACAAAAAATGGCAAGGACCATTTAAACAGATCACCTCACCACAAGCGGAAAGGGGGACAGGGTTTGCCAAAGGGCATACAAGTGCTCCACTATAATTGACAGATGTTGTTCAGAAAAATAATATGGCCCTTTTCTTTCATGGAGATGAAGGTGGATTTCAAAGCACAGAAAGGAAGTTGGTTGGAGACCCCCTCTGTTGAAACACAGAAACTAACAAGGGCTTGAAGTGGTCTCTGCCTATGACCTGAGGTCAGATTGTTAATTTTACAAGCAGTAAGATGTGGTAAACCTTTCCAGTTTAATACAAATGTTGAGAGTTTAAAAATAAAAATAAAAAATAACATTTAAAAAAATCACCGCAATAACTGCTCTCTGGTATTAGTATTTTACAAAAATACACCTAAACCAAAGTCATATTCCAAAAAGAATGTTGTGTAACATTTCCCCTGTCAAACACCAATTTATATTACCCTTAGCCATGTAAAAAATTAAATAATAAAATAAAATAAAATAAACCCCTGACCTTCAGATGACTATAGAGGGCGCAAGTGTGCCTCTGACTCTGTTAATGTGCATGTGTTTACATTCACTCTCATCCCAACAAGTATGATCACTGTTCACAACAAGCACAGGTTTCCACTCGGCTCAGCACAATCAAAGAGGGATGAACCCCCCCCCCCAATTAAAGGCACAGCAATAAACACAACAATAGACCACAATTCTCAAGTGCTCTCACGTTTCTTATAGTGGGTTTCTAATGCTGTACTGTTATTAAATAAATAACAACTATGTTAAAACTATATTAAAACTACAACCACAATGTGTCATTTATAATGAACATGATAAACATTTAGAACAACATTAAGTATCTGTAAGGGTTTTGGATGAACTTTTTGAACTTCGTAATTAGGGCTGATTTTTTTTTCAACATGACGAAAGTGCATGATAATTCCTTAGTAATGAAAGCTACTGTTATTCATAATTACATACAAGTTAGCGCGTACACCATTCCACGCACATCTTACCTGTAAACGTGCACTGATAAATACTTTACAATTTGTTGCTGAAGACTACTGTTAAATTGAAAGAAAATCCACAAAGAATATCATTTGTATCAAATTTCAAGGTAAAGTGCATATTTAGCTAGCAGTTATACTGTTTGCAGGGATCTTTCGTGTTGTTATTCACAGCCTGAACCAATCTCTCACTTTAAATGAATCGTTCATTCAAACATGAACATTCTGTCATCATTTACTCACCCTCATGTCATTTCAAACTTGTATGACCTTTTTTACTTCTGTGGAACATTAAAAAAGATATTCTGAAGAATGTTTTTGTCCATGCAATAAAGTTGAGTTGGATGCCATTGACTTTAATTATATAGACTAAACAGCTGAACCATTCTTCAAAATAACTTCTTTTGTGTCTCGCAGAAGAAATAAATTCATACACCTTTCAAACATCATGAGGGTGAGCAAATTACAGAATTTGCATTTGGGGTGAACGATCCTTTTAAGGGCTAATGGACCTTTCTAATACTGTTTATTTGAAATCTACAAAACCACCTAATTTCTACAGAAAAACATGGATCACATGTCCTTGAAGTTAATGAAGGCATATTCGATTAAAGCACAAGGTACAAAGAATTTGAGCAGCCAACATAAAAGTCTCAAAGTATTAGGGATTTTTTTTTTTATGTAAGCACAAAATATGTAGGGCCATAAGGAGCACCGTTTTAATGGAAGAAACCATTCCATGCTACAAAATGTTTTAAAAAGCCATAGTTTAGAAACAGTCAGTGCCATGCACATCAAAGGCAGACCAAATCTAAAATAAAAGTGCAAAAGCAAATAGTCAAAAAACTAAAAGTGCTAACAAGCCCGAAATCACCACGGCAACAACGCTTTCCATCCCAACAAGCATGCTGATGTTTGTAGTGTTCTCGAATCGCTCATCTGGGGTGATGGTCTTTAACTCAGACAGGAGAGCTGTGATTAAGTACATAATTCATCACAGAGCCAATCTGCAAATACACAGCAAGGTCATACATTCGTTATTTTACTAATTATTGAGCCTTTAGGCATAGTGTGGCATCTATAAACATTCATTTATTTGTCTGCCCCTATAAATAAAGCATCTTAATGGGATGAACCTATAAAAGTGCCTCTACAGGTGAATGTCAAGACGGTAGCATACAGACAAGTGTCTGCTCTCCGCTTCCCTCTTATTTGTCATTTATTTATTATTTGAGTGCAGAAAGGCCTGTCTGAGCACATGGGCTCTGCATGTCTATTTTTGTAGCTGTTGATGATTTCAGCTTGTCTGGTGTGAAAACCAGGGTGCAGCCTTGAGGAAGTGAAGTCAGAAAGCCAGAAATAGAAAAAGGGTGGCATGGAAAACTTAAAATGTCTCCGATTTCTCATTCACCTCCAAAGTAGCTATTAAAAACACTTTTGTTAAAAGGCACGCAACAGGCAAAACAAACATGCTTCACCGAGAAATACTTGAATGTAGAAGGGAAAGTGTAACAATGGTCATAGGCACTCATGTTTTCCGGACAAGACTCTAACAAACGAATGTTAACAACACTCTACAGCGCATGCACATCTGAAAGAAGGAACTGAGAGTGGGTATGTTAGCATATCACTGTCAGTTTAACCACAAAACCTGTTTCAAAGTACAAAGCTTGAAATCGAAAGCTATTCAATTAAAACAGAAGGATACACTTTTGATTTACAGCCTATGTTGGGATATTTTGTTATTAAGATCAAAACAGGTAAACTTGTGTAAAGCGGCGGTCACACTACACTTTTCTTTCCATTTACTTCCATTCATACGCATGCAAATGCTGGAAACCGGAAACGCAAGCTCGTGCGAAGGAAGTTTTACATTTCGCTGCGTTCCAAAGCGTCATGGCTTGTCATCTTAGCAGAATTAAACAATCGTAAACTTTCAATTTGCTGGCATTGCAGGAAAGCAGAGTAGATTGTATATTTTTACATTTTGGATTTATTATTATTTGTTATATGTTGAATACTTTGTACTATGTTTAAAAAAAAAAAAAAGACACCACAGAGCATGACATCGTATCACGACTGTTGCAGGGCTCAAAGTCTAGTGAAACCGCCCTTTAAGGAGATGATGGGTGAGTGGTTGAACGCTGTGGCATTTAGCAGGTTAATCCGGAGCACCGATTTTATCTGCAAGTGTAAAGCGCAAAGTGAAGCATCACATTGCAACATATCAAACACTACAGGAAGTGGATCGATAGTTTCTCCCTCAGTTTGGCTAACTGCAGAGGTAGAGGAGCAGAGGAATAACAGAGAGGAGCGGCAAAGGAATAAGAAACATCGCAACCTACTTTTTGGTTCGCCAATAGCAAAGAGCTGAAGTAGTGCTACAAAAACAAGTGCATTTCACAAGGGTGTGAAGATCTGCAACAGGACTGACAAACAAATGAGTAGCTAATACTTAAGCAGGGTAAACTCAGAAGGCATGGGCGCCCCCCAGTGGTGGAGGTGAAAGGCAAGCAAGTCGAGGAGCTTGCTAGTGGTCAAATCACAAAACTCAATCGACAGAATGTCAAATAACAGTTGTGATGGCTAATACTCTCCTGGCAGTGGAAAAATAGCCCTAATTTCATAGTTTACTTGCTGTCAAGTTTTTGTTTCAGCAGATTTTGGTAAGGCGTTTGTGTTTGAATGAGTTGTCTGTCTGAGTGTCTGTCTTTGGTGCTGTCCTATAGTTTTTTTAGTGAGTGACAGACCTGAACTACACACCCCTTCTGTTCTACCACATGAACAAAATTTAGTAACAGGAAAAACAATCTGAAAAACACTTCTTCTTTAAGCAACACAATTGGTATTCTGAGCCAATATGGGGCAATGGAAGATCCAAAATGGAGAATTGTTTTTATGAAGCATGAAGCATGAAGGCAGGGGCAATAACCCCTTTATTTTAACAATTTCTTTTATATGTATATCCCTGCCGCCATTTTAGTTGCTAGTTGTATTCAAAGCTAAGCTATGTTTCAGCTTGTAGGCATTGAACATGACGGTTTTCCCAAAAATAGGTCTCACAGAGAAAAGATCAGCACAGCAGCACCATGCAGCATTCGTGTGCCCAGGCGCCAGCGCTCAGACGGGGTGCTGGTGTGAGTGTGTGTGTGTGGTCTTGTATAATAATAACAGTCTTAAGAGGCGAAAGCAGGTCACTGCAATGATGCTGTTCCCTATGTGATGCTGCGGCGAGACCTGTTGCATTCGCACAGTAGAACATGTAACATTGAGAAAGAGAATGATTTGAGACTTTCTCCAAACCTTCTCCTGTTTAATGACACATACGCTATGAGCTCTCGTGGCGGGCAGTCCACTAAGGCCCAGCGTGGGTAGGGAAGGCTAAAGCTCAGAGACAAAGAGGACCCCGGACTCGCTTTCAGCAGTCAGGACAGAAACAGGGCTCCCCAGGCTTGGCTACATGCCTCTGGACTGAGATGAGGGTGAGGAGTAAAGGGGGGGTTGAAAGGATGAATGGAGGAAGACCCTCAGGAAATGTGGGGTGCTGAGGAGGATGGATGTCTCCAGAAAAACCAGCCCCGTTTGGTGTGCTGCTTGCGTAAGATCTCCTCCTCGCGCTCTCGCTCTTTTTGAGAACGGAGGTAGCGGTCTTCCTCCTTCAGGAACCACACAGGGGGCCAGCGATGCTTCTCAAAATGTTTCTGGTTTTCTGGAATAACAAATGACAAGATCAAGGAAATACACCGGAATTTTCTCGCTTCAAAACACTTTAAAATAAATGTTTTCTATTTTAATATATTTTCAAATGTAATTAATTTCATCATTATCAACTGAATTATTATGAAGGACTCCATAGAAAGTTCAAAAGAACAGCATTTATTTAAAATAAAAATCTTTTGTAACATTATGTTTTTTACTGTCACTTCTGATCAATTGAATCATTTGCCGAATTTATTTTATTTATACATAATATAAATCAAATAAATAAATGAATAAAAACACTTCTTGCCCCTTACCAGGAGACATAGTCTTCATGTCTTTAGGGAATTTTCGACAAACGCTATTGTAGTTGGTGCAGATGTGATGCAGACACCAGGCAGAGAGCTGTTTGGCATTGTGGAACTACAGCAGACAGAAAGCAGAGTTGGCACAGAGTGATTTCTCTCAAAGAGGCTCATTTGAAAAGCAAAGTCTGTTCATCCTTTGAACTAGAATAAAGTAGGCTATGAATGAATGGCAATTCTGTAATGTGCTCCATTGGTTATATTGCTACTTCATTACTCAGTGTGAGTGTCCTCTGCATTCTATTAAAGGCTTTGTTTGCTTCATCTTTATTAATATTACCTGAGCCATCTCCAGATAGGCCAGCACATGTCCATCAATGTCCACCCCTTTAACGGACAACTGCAATAGCTCCTCAACAGCATGTTGCTCTGTAGACCATGGCAAAACACCATACAGCAAGTGTTAATATGTCAGCCATGGAGCTTAATGGTTAATGATTAGCAAAATACTCCATAACAACAGAATCGTCAACATTGAAAAATTTCTCACCTTCACTGGTGTATTTTAACAAATACAACATGCTGTAGTTTAGATGTAGATAATATTTATTTGGTTAATTTATTTTTCCAAATTATTGGCTAGTGCCACCTCTAGTAGCTTTGATGAGTTTAAATACTATCATTTGTAATATTAACCAACATTTTTGTCCATGGCAGCTGTTTAACTTTACAGATCCAAATTATTTGCAGATTATGTCTTTGCAAATTCATGCTCAAAGTAGTAGATTAACCATAGAATTATACAGTAGTTTTTCAAGGTACACAGTCTGCCTTCAGGTAAACATAGAGCCTTTATTAAACCTACCTGTTAGAGCTACAAGGCGAGGAAGACAGAGGCGGTTGGCAAGTATTATAAGGTCCATTGGCTCCAGCTCAGGACATGGTGTTAACACACCACAGTAGAGAAACTCCAGAACGGCTCTCATGCAGGCACAAGTGGTGTTGGGGATAGAGACCTAAAAAGAGAAACAGAGAAAGAAAAAGAGGTGGTGGTTAGCAAAAAACAGCCTTAATATTTCAAGTTTACAGTTATTAACAAAAGCCCACTTTGAGAAAAGTTTGTGTGAACACATTTCATAACCCATGCTGAGAAATGTTTATTCATAGCTCATCTCCAGGACATGGAAACTCGAGAGGCAGATTGATCCAGGGATGAAACAATCTGCTCAGCACCTCTCCCCTATTGAGACCTGCATGGTCCTGGCTGCTGACCATTAGAGGAGGCCTTCGGGTTGACATGGCAAGGCCCAAAGTGGCCATGGAAGCAGTTAGAAAGGGATGTATGTGTCCAGGAAGGCTGGTGGAGGAAGGGGCCTGGGAGAGCGGCCTCCACAAGGGGTCTTTCATCCTTCAGGAGATTAAAGCACTGTGTGAAACCGTTGATAGTCTCAGCTTAAAGCTGTGGAAAAATAACTCTGTGGGCTTGTCGCTACGGGAAACCTGGCCTTTGCATAAACAAGAGCCAACAAACCAGCCTACAGGAGAGACTGTCATCATATAACAGTTAACACAGGATATGCTTTACAGAACAAATACACAACATTTAGGAAGACTCAGTTCCCATATATTGATATGTCAAATTTCATGCATTCATTTAAATGACAAATAAAATTATATTTCAAACTAGATTGAAAAGTTTGTAGACAAACTTTAAGTTGGCTTGAAAAAACCTAGCTAGAAAGTTTTAAAAAGTTTTAAAAGCTTGCAGTCTGAATGTTTTTAGTTTGAAGTAGTTTGAAACTTAAAATAGTTTTAAAGATTACAGTTTGAATGTTTTCAAGGCAATACAGTCTATCAGAAAAACAGATGGTATAAAACATATTGCTAGGGTACCTGGGGTGGTTGCTAGGCTGTTTCTAGCATGATTAGCATGTTGCTTGCACAATTAGCATGTTACTAGCATGTTTCTAGCATGATTAGCATGTTACTAGCATATTGTTAACAAAATTAGCAAGTTACAAACATGTTGCTAGCATGATTCTAGCATGATTAGCATGCTAAAAGCATGGTGTTAGCATTTTGTTAGCATGATTAGCAAGTTACTAGCATTTTTCTAACATGATTAGCATGTTACTAGCATGGTGTTAGCATTTTGTTAACATTATTATCAAGTTACTAGCATGTTTCTATCATTAATAGGATGTCACTAGCATGTTGTAAGCATTATTAGCAACTTAATAACCTGTTGCTAACATGATTCTGGCATGATTAGCATGTTACTAGCATGGTGTTATCATTTTGTTAACATAATTACCAAGTTACTAGCATGTTTCTAACATGATTAGAATGTTGTTAGCATGATTAGCATGTTACTAGCATGTTGATAGCATGATTCTAGCATGATTAGCATGTTACAAGCATGTTGTTAGCATGATTAACAAGTTACTAGCATATTGCTAGCATGTTTCTAGCATGTTTAACAAGTTACTGGCATGTTGTAAGCATGATTCTAGCATGATAGCAAGTTACTAGCATGTTTCTAAAATTATTAGAATGTTGTTAGCATGATTAACATTACTAGCATGTTGATAGCATGATTCTAGCATGATTAGCATGTTACAAGCATGTTATTAGCATGATTAACAAGTTAATAACATGTTGCTAGCATGATTCTAGCATGATTAGCATGTTACTAGCATGATTCGAGCATGATTAGCATATTACTAGCATGATTAACAAGTTACTAGCATGTTGTTAGCATGTTTCTAGCATGATTAGCAAGTTACTAGCATGTTGTTATCATGATTCTAGCATGATTAGCAAGTTACTAGCATGTTGTTAGCATTATTAGCAAGTTACTAGCATGTTGTTAACATGATTAGCAAGTTAATAGCATGTTGTTAACATGATTCTAACATGATTAGCATGCTACTAGCATGATAATAGCATGTTTCTAACATGTTTAAAAGTTGCTAGCATTTTGTTAGCATGTTTAACAAGTTGTTAGCATGTTTCTAGCATGATTAGCATGTTACTAGCATGTTACTAGCATGATTCTAGTATGTTACTAGCCTGTTTATCAAGTTGCTAACATGTTTCTAGCATGATTAGCAAGTTACTAGCATGTTGTTAACATGATTAGGAAGTTACTAGCATGATGTTAACATGATTAGCATGTTAATAGCATGTTTGCTAGCATGATTAGCATGTTACTAGCATGATGCTAGTATGTTTCTAACATATTTAACAAGTTGTTAGCATTTGTTAGCATGCTAGCATTTTTCTAGCATGATTAGCATGTTACTAGCATGGTGTTAACATTTTGGCATGGTGTTAGCATTTTGTAAGCTTGATTAGCAAGTTACTAGCATGTTTCTAGCATGTTGTTAGCATGATTAGAATGTTACTAGCATGTTGATAACATGATTCTAGCATTATTAGCATGTTACTAGCATGATTCTAGCATGTTACTAGCATGTTTATCAAGTTGCTAACATGTTTCTAGCATGATTAGCAAGTTACTAGCATGTTGTTAACATGATTAGGAAGTTACTAGCATGATGTTAACATGATTAGCATGTTAATAGCATGTTTGCTAGCATGATTAGCATGTTACTAGCATGATGCTAGTATGTTTCTAACATATTTAGCCAGTTGCTAGCATTTGTTAGCATGTTTAACAAATTGCTAGCATGTTTATAGCATGATTAGCACGTTACTAGCATGATGCTAGCATGTTTCTAGCATGTTTAACAAGTTGCTAGCATGTTTCTAGCATGATTAGCACGTTACTAGCATGGTGTTAGTCTTTTTTAGCATGATTACCAAATTACTAGCACGTTTCTAGCATGATTAGCATGTTACTAGCATGTTGTTAGCATTATTAGCAAGTTACTAACATTTTGTTGGCCTGTTTCTAGCATGATTAGCAAGTTACTAGCATGTTGTTAGCATGTTTCTATGCTAATCCAGCTAAACCCAGTTGATTCAGTTAAAAAAAAACAGCTAAAAACAGCTAAGACCAGCCTGGCCTGCTAAAAAAAATGGCCAAAACCACTTTAAAACCAGCTTGGGAGACAAGCCAAAGCAGTCAATCAGCTTAGGCTGGTTTTAGCAGTTTTTTCAGTAGGGAGTTGTTAAGCTTTGCTATAGCAATAGACAGCTTAAATACACCATAAGTCTTATTGTATAAGAGTATTGTATTGTATACTTATTGTGTAAGTATCGCTTTTTATTTCTCCTCTTTCCTACTACTTGTTCTTTTCGTTTTAATTACTTTTTCTTATTTGTGTATGTTTTAATTGTTTTTAGCTTTATTTTTTGTTTTATTTAAATGTTTAGTTTTGAAATGTTGTTGTATGCATTTGTCATTTTTATTTAATTTCTTTTATTTTCTTAAATGTGTATATATATAGTATTTATAGAGTTTTAGCTTTTAGTTTTAATTACTTTTTCTTATTTGTAAGTCGCTTTGGATAAAAGCGTCTGCTAAATGACTAAAAGTAAAGTAAAGTAAAAGTATAAAAGTTTTCACACCCTCAATGAAAGTCTATGGGATTTTAAGTGGTTTTGATAGTCTGGTTTATTAAAACCTTAAGCCAGATCAGTTAGAAAAGATATAGCAACCCGAGTCAGACCAGTCTGAAGGTCTGACCCGAGTTTGGTGGTTGTAGCTTTAAAAGTCTAGGAGGAGATACATTTTAAAATTTGGTCTCAGAAGAAGAAGAAGAAGAAGAAGAAGTTTAAATAGGATTTCAGTAAGTTGGCTTTTTCAAGCCACCTTAATAAATGCTATTCTTTTTAAATTTGTATTCATCAAAAAATCCTGAAAAAGAATCACGGTTTTCACAAAAGTATTAAAGGGGTCATATGATGCTATTTTAAAGATCATTATTTTGTGTATTTGGTGTAACAGAATATGTTGACATGCTTTAATGTTCAAAAAACATTACATGTATATTTTTGTGATATATTATATCTGTACATTATTGTAGGCAGTGTTGGGGAAAGTTACTTTTAAAAGTAATGCATTACAATATTGCATTACTCCATAAAAAAAGTAACTAATCACGTTACTTAGTTACTTTTTATGGAAAGTAAT